GAATGTTGATTCATGGGAATAGCAATATTACATTCCCTTCCTTCCCCACGTCCAGAAGTAGCACTGTAGATCACAGCAAATTCCTCCAGATTTCTCCAGCAGCTTCTGACCTTCAGTGAATACCATTTTCGCAGTCATGTGCACCACCAGAAAGATCAGAATAACAGAGTTGGAAGGGTCCTTGGAGGTCAGCTAGTCCAACCCCCTGCTCTGGCGGGAAACCCTATCCCATTTCAGACAGACGGTTGTTCGATCTCTTCTTCAAAACCTCTGGTGTTGGAGCACCCACAACTTCTGGAGGCAGGTTGTTCCACTGGTTAATTGTTCTCACTGTCAGGAAATTCCTCCTTAGTTCTAGGGCAGGGCTTTTCAACCAGTGGTACGGGTACCACCTGTGGTACATTGGCACCTGGCAGGTGGTACGCGACCATCCTAGAAAAGTGATAGCAGGGGAGGGGAATGAGCTGAACCGGTGGCAGCACCACACAAGCCTGAGCGAGAGATGGCTGGAGCTGCAGGGCTGTCGGGGCTCAGCGGAAGCGCCAGGATCATTGTTGCTTTCCAGCTGATTGGTGCTTCTTCAGGGCTCAGCAGAAGCACCAGCATCAGCGCCATTTTCTATTCTATTTTATTCTAATTTTATTCTCTATTCTAATTTTATTTTCTATTCTATTCTATTCTAATTATTTCATTTTCTATTCTATTCTAATTTTATTCTCTAATCTATTCTATTCTATTCTACTCTATTCTAAATATTTCATTCTATATTTCTATTTTATTCTACATTTCTATTCTATATTTCTATTTTATTCTATTCTAATTATTTCATTTTCTATTCTATTCTAATTTTATTCTCTAATCTATTCTATTCTACTCTACTCTATTCTAAATATTTCATTCTATATTTCTATTTTATTCTACATTTCTATTCTATTCTATTCTAATTATTTCATTTTCTATTCTATTCTAATTTTATTCTCTAATCTATTCTATTCTACTCTACTCTATTCTAAATATTTCATTCTATATTTCTATTTTATTCTACATTTCTATTCTATTCTATTCTAATTATTTCATTTTCTATTCTATTCTAATTTTATTCTCTAATCTATTCTATTCTACTCTACTCTATTCTAAATATTTCATTCTATATTTCTATTTTATTCTACATTTCTATTCTATATTTCTATTCCATTCCATTCCATTCTATTCTATTCTATGCATTAATTTTTTTTTTCATGTCAAGCCTGATGATCCTTGCAAATATGCATCCAGCAGCATCTCATTACAGACTTCCTCAAAGCCTCTGACTCATTCATCTAACATAGGGGGAAGATTGTGGGAGAATCTAAATGCCCAACAAATAGGGAACAATTCAGTGACTGCATTTATTTAGGATGCACATTAATCGGAAAGGAAGTCACCCTTTGCATTGGTAAGCAGGCGTTGCTTCACCTGGTAGAGCACAGCATGAACAAAATTCCCCCCCCCCCTTTCCAAGGGGAATCAGGGTAAGAGCTGAACAAAAGTTGCTTCTGAACCTTCCTCAATGAATAAAAGACATCTCCTCTTGGTCCTTGTTGGAAAAAAATTGAGCGTTCTCTTCTCCCATGGAAAGGAAAGGGAAATTAAGCTGCATTTTGTTCCGCAAGCGGGCTAACCATTCGTATGGGGAGGAAGTCAGCGCCTTCCCCCGTTCCAACTTCGTAGGAGCTTTAAGGAGAAAATTGGAAATTCAGAAGGATACTCCAGATGGTGACTTTCTGTGCTCTGCATTCCTGTTCAGGAAGGACAGAATAGTCATTACGCAAGAGCTGTGCGGCGTCGGGGGGGGGGGGGGGGAGAGAAGGCCGCAGCGCAGTTATGTGTGACTTTCATGAGATGAACACAATTCCCCAAATCAAGAAAGTCATTATGAATGGAGAAGAAAAGGATTCCTTTATCCTCACAACATCTCTCCTTTGGGGGGGTGGGGGTCCAGGAGACTGTTTTAGAAATATGTTTCAGAAATCCAGCTTCAAGAAACCAGGGCTTGTGACAAGGCCCCCCCATGTGAGGAGAAATTTTAATGGAATATTTGATCGTATTGACTTGCATCTAAACGGCGCTGCAATCGATGTTAATCTTTCATTAAAGTCATTTGATAAATAGGAATACCTCGGTCCTTTTCCTAACTACACAGATTTAAAGATTCACCAGAGCACCAGAGGGAAGGACGAGAAACAACGGATGGAAACTGATCAAGGAGAGAAGCAACCTGGGATTAAGGAGAAACTTCTTGACAGTGAGGACAATTAACCAGTGGAACAGCTTGCCACCAGAAGTTGTTGGTGTTCCATTACTGGAGGTTTTTAAGAAGAGGCTAGACAGTCACTTGTAAGAGATGGTATAGGTTCTCCTGCTTGAGCAGGGGCTGGACTAGAAGACCTCCAAGGTCCCTTCCAGCTCTATTCCAATTGATTGATCCCTGGAGGTTTTTAAGAAGAGACTGGACAGTCACTTGTCTCAGATGGTATAGGATCTCCTGCTTGAGCAGGGGGCTGGACTAGATGACCCCCAAGGTCCCTTCCAGCTCTATTCTAGTCTAAAGACACTAGAATAAATGCAGCCTAGGTCAATGCAGCCTACTGACCAACCCTAAACATCCCTTTTTCACTTTACACCCTTGGAAGTTGTGAAACGAAGATACTCCTGGATTGACCCAGATCATCCTTTTGCGATATTTTAAATTGGAAACTCCAGTTTGGGTGGGCTGCTTTGCTTCAAGAGCACAACGAGAGTCTTCCTGAGAGTTGGGGTAGATATTGCAAAAAAAAAAAAAAAAAAAAAAAGGTGCGATGGCTCCTCCAGATGCTTCCCCACATGCCTCTCCAGTTGTCAGCTCGGAGGAGAATGAATCAGTTCCAGGCATGGAACTGGAGGGGAGTTGGTCAATGGCTCCAAGCAGCCATCTAAGAGGCATTTGGCTCAAACACAGCTGCAGCAGGACAGCCCTGAGGCTTCAGGTGAGGAAAGCATGCAGCTGCAGCTGGTCAGTGATGAGGAAGAGGAACTGCCCTCCACACCTGATCAGAGAAGACGTAGGGCAGAGAAAAGGTAGGAGCAGCAGAGGTCAGTCAGATTACTCACGAGGAGGCTACCTCGTCGTTCTTGATGGGCTGCACCAGAAGCTGGCTCTTTAGCGCAGCAGAGAGATGGAGACGACGCTTGGAACAATGTGTTCATTTCCAAGCTGCGTGTTTCCTGGTTGCTGTAATCCCAGTATTGCTTTTGATTGATGCCGTGTCTTTGGATTGTGCCTTGTGAACTCTGGACTTGTCTTGCCTCGTCCACTCTCTTGTATTGTGGCTTTAATCTGGCCTGGTGGGTTTATCTAGTTTGGGAAATTTTCAGGTGGACTCACTGGCCATTGCTCTGTGGATTCACATTGGCCTATCCTAAAGGTGCCACTGGACTTCGTTGTTTTCCTTTGAAGACATTTCGCTTCTCACCCAAGAAGCTTCTTCAGCTCTGACTGGATGGTGAGGAAATGGAAAGATTTATACTCCTCGCAGAGAGCTGGTCATTTGCCTCCTTTTAGAGCAGTGGTTCTCAACCTGTGGGTCGGGACCCCATTTGGGGTCGAACAACCATTTCACGGGGGTCGCCAAACAACGCAGTCTGCCATTTTTTCCCCCCTTTTCCTTAGCTGTGCTACTCCCTTTTATTCTATTGGCTTTTGAAAGCCAATAGAAGAGACTCTCTTGAATAGAGTCTAATTCTATTGGCTTTCCAAAGCCAATAGGAATTGTCCAGGCTGTCTCTGCCCTGCTGAGCCCGCGAAAAGTCCCATTCTGCAAATGGTGCTGCACCAGTTGAGTAGTCCTTGACTTACGACTGGTTGAGTAGTCCTCAACTTACGACCGATTGGGGGTCGCGGCGTTAAAAAGGTTGAGAACCACTGTTTTAGAGGGTCCTTGAGGCCACCTGGAGGTTTATCTGTGCCCTCAGGGTCTGTCCACATTTTGGACAGAGAGGACCACTGGTTTGAAAGAGGGGTCAAAGAGGCCATCTAGGTCAAAACTGAACAGCCCTCTCTCAACAGAGGGGGAGGGACACGACATCATCTACCTCCAGTCTACAACACAGTCCTTTCAGCAGTTCCAAGAAGGCTCCCCATCCATTTGCACCACTCAGGTGATCCTAAGGACACAGACAAACCTCCAAGTGGCCTCAACGACCCTCTAAAAGAAGGCAAATGACCAGCGGTCCGCAAGGAGTATAAATCCTTCCATTCCCCACCATCCAGTCAGAGCTGAAGAAGCTTCTTGGATGAGAAGAAAGATGTCCTCAAGGAAGAACAAAGAAAGTCCATTTGCCTCGTGAAAAAAGCACCTTTGGGTCAACCATGGCCTGGATGACGGAGACTCTCCGTAGACTTGGTCTGCTTATGGCTGGACTTAATTGGGACAGTTCTGGTTTTTTTGATGAAGGGAAGTGCTGGGGAATATTAATAGATCCCGCTGTTCTATTAGCCACTGTTGAGGGACAGCACAAAGGGTCACCTTGCTCAGTCATCAGAGCATCCTCTTCAAGGCTGTTGTGGTTTTGTGACTGCCCAATTTAGGCTGGAGTTCCCTCAGAAGCGTCCCTCTGGGTCTCCAGCTGATTTGACACCAAGAGAGAAGGAATGAAGAGGGAGCTGCAGACAGAACATTCATCTCCGCTGAATGGGGACCATCTGTTGCGATCTTTGATGTCTTTCCTACAAACACACCCATGATAGACGAGAGATTCCTCCTTGGCAAGCCAAAAATCCCAGGGATTATCTGGAAGCCTTTGAAGATGGGCCTGTAGGGACAGGGACAGGGCGTGTGAGCAGACGAAGGTCTAACTTATCATGGTGCCGGTGCTGCCTGAAAACACTTCCACGCACACCCACACAAACCCACACCCGCGGAGACCGAGTGCTTGCTGAGCAAACACTTCGCATGGGTGGCAACTCAATCCTGCGGGGTGAAACGAATTGCAAAGCTGGAAAACCTGTGTGACACACACTCCAATAATAACCCGTGGTTAGGGCGCGGCCGTCAGTGGCTTGCTTGGAATTGCAAGTGCAGTTAGTTCATTTCGTGACCGTCCAAAGTTACAACGGCACTAAAAAAAAAAAGTGACTTAAGATCAAACTTTCACGCTTACAACCCTTGCGACGTCCCCAGGGTCACGTGATTTACATTCGGTTGCTTGGCAACTGACTCACATTTTTGGCGGTTTGCAGCATCCCGGGGTCATGTGATGTCCTTTTGCGACCTTCTGACTAGCAAAATCAATGGGGAAGCAGCGATTCAATTAGCGACCGGGTTACTAGAATGGAATAGGAATAGAATAGAATTAGAATGAATAGAATAGAATAGAATAGAATAGAATAGAATAGAATAGAATAGAATAGAATAGAATAGAATAATGAAGAACAGAACAGAATAGGAATAGAATAGAATAGAATAGAATAGAATAGAATAGAATAGAATAGAATAGAATAGAATAGAATAATGAAGAATAGAATAGAATAATGAAGAATAGAATAGAATAGAATAATGAAGAATAGAACAGAACAGAATAGAATAGAAATACAGAAGAATAGAATAGAATAGAATAGAATAGAATAATGAAGAATAGAATAGAATAGAATAGAATAGAACAGAACAGAATAGAATAGAAATAAAGAAGAACAGAATAGAATAGAATAAAATAGAATAGAATAGAATAATGAAGAATAGAATAGAATAATGAAGAATAGAATAGAATAGAATAATGAAGAATAGAACAGAACAGAATAGAATAGAAATACAGAAGAATAGAATAGAATAGAATAGAATAGAATAGAAAGTCGAGGACTATTCTGTAAGTGTTCTAGACTCACCTTGAGCAAGGAAACAAGGACGGAAACAGGATTGCCACAAAAAAAATGTTGAGAGTTTGGGAAAAAAAGTGCAAAGAAGGGCAACTAACATGATTAAAGGCCTGGAGATTCAAACGGTTGCAGGATTTGGGAATGGCCAGTCTACAGAAAAGAAGGACTAGTGGAGGGGGACATGACAGCAGTCTTCCAGTATTTGAGGGGGCTGCCACAAAGAAGAGGAGGGGGTCAACTTATTTTCCAAAGCACCAGAAGGCAAGACAAGAAACAATGGTTGGAAGCTGATCGAGGAGAGAAGCAACCTGGAATTAAGGAGAAACTTCCTAACAGTGAGGACAATTAACCAGTGGAACAGCTTGCCACCAGAAATTGTGGGCGCTCCATCACTGCAGGTTTTTCACCTCCAAGGTCCCTTCCAGCTCCACTCTGATTCTGATTCGGAATTGATTCTCAAACGGGGGCCCTTCCACTGCCTGCCGTCAGTCAAGCCACCTTATTACAGAGACTCCGTCTCGCCTCCAGAGTTGCCCCCATCAATGTATAATGCAAGAGCCATGAATAATTGAAGCTCGGCAAAGCTAGGAAGACTTTTAGGCAGCTCAATTATTTGTCAAGCTACAGCATTTGCCCTGCAGCCTGTCCCAACCTGTAGCACGTTCCCAAACGCTGGAGGTTGAAGTCTCCAATATTGGAAGACTGCTATCACGTCCCCCCCCCCAGTCCTTCTTTTCTGTAGACTGGCCAAACCCAAGTCCCGCAGCCGTTCTTCGTATGTTTTAGTCTCCAGGCCTTTAATCCTCTTAGTTGCTCTTCTCTGCACTTTGTCCAAAGTCTCAACATCAACAGGAAGGGTCACTGTAGGGTCCAGTTTGATGGCATGAAACCAAACACTGGATGGATTTAGTTGGTTCCTCTTCTTCTTCTTCTTCTTCTTCTTCTTCTTCTTCTTCTTCTTCTTCTTCTTCTTCTTCTTCTTCTTCTTCTTCTTCTTCGTCTTCTTCTTCTTCTTCTTCTTCTTCTTCTTCTTCTTCTTCTTCTTCTTCTTCTTCTTCTTCTTCTTCTTCTTCTTCTTCTTCTTCTTCTTCTTCTTCTTCTTCCCCTTCCCCTCCTCCTCCTCCTCCTTCTTCTTCTTCCTCCTCTTCCTCTTCCTCTTCCTCCTCCTCCTCCTCCTCTTCTTCTTCTTCTTCTTCCCCTTCTCCTCCTCCTCCTTCTCCTTCTTCTTCCTCCTCTTCCTCCTCCTCCTCCTCCTCCACTTCTTCTTCTTCTTCTTCTTCTTCTTCTTCTTCTTCTTCTTCTTCTTCTTCTTCTTCTTCTTCTTCTTCTTCTTCCTCTTCCTCTTCTTCTTCTGCCATATCTGTTATTGGACGTTGGCGATCATGTTGGCGATCCTGTTTTTATCAGCAGCTGCCCGAAAAAGTGCTGCTGAGTTTTGTCCAAACCAATCCCTTAGATTTTGAAGCCACGATGTTCTTCTTCTGCCTGGACCTCGTTGGCCTTCGATCTTTCCTTGGAGGACTCAGTGGAGTGTGCCGTATTTTTCTGGGTGTCGCATCACACGTCCAAAATATTCTAATTTTCTTTTTTTTAATTGTTTTGATGATTTCCCTTGGCTTTCCCAGGCGGCTTATCATTGGTTCTGCGAAGGGTAGTCTTCTTTCAGGAGACCTGCTTTTTACCCTGCCACATTGTCCTCCCTGTTAGGAAGCTTCTCCTTAATTCCAGCAGTCTTCCAGGATTTGAGGGGCTGCCCCATAGAAAAGGGGATCATCTTATTTTCCAAAGCACCAGAAGGAAGGGCAAGGAACAACGGAGGGAAACTCATCAAGGAGAGAAGCAAGCTGGAATTAAGGAGAAACTTCCTAACAGCGAGGACGATTAACCAGTAGAACAACCAGCCTCTAGAAGTGCTCCATCACTGGAGGTTTTTAAGAAGAGACTGGACAGTTCCTTGTCCGAAATGGTCTAGGGTCTCCTGCTTGAGCAGGGGGCTGGACTAGAAGACCTCCAAGCTCCCGTCCTGCTCTATTCTGGTTCTGGTTCTGCTTCTCCAAGTCTCCTGCTTGAGCAGGGGGCTGGACTAGAAGACCTCCAAGCTCCCTTCCAACTTTGTTATTCTGTGGCCAGTCTGCTGAGGAACCCTCTGGGCACCTGATACTGGCCCATCTCTACTCTTGATGGTGTTGTGCTGACTTTGGTTCTGCCTGCACTGTTGACTTTGCCAAGGCACTCCTCAAACAAAAACCTATTTAGAGCATGCCAAAGAATAAGCTATTCTCAATCTTAGATTGCACTTATACCTTGGAGAGAGAGAGAGAGGAGAGAAGGGGAGGAGAGAGACGGAGAGAGGGAGGGAGGGAGAGGGGGCGAGAGAGGGAGACAAAAGAGAGGAGAGAGAGAAAGAGAGAGGGGGCGAGAGAGAGAGAGGGAGGGAGAGAGGGAGAGGAGAGAGAAAGAGAGAAAGAAAAAGAGAGGGAGAAAGAGAGAGAAAGAGAAAGAGGGACAGGGACAGGGTGAGAGGGAGAGGAGATGAGAGAAAAAGAGGGAGAGATGGAGAGGGAGAGAAGAGAGAGAGAAAAAGAAAGGGAGAGAGAAAGAGGGAGAGGAGGAGGGGGAGAGAGAAAGAGAAAGAGAGAGAAAAAAGGAGAGGGGGAGAGGGAGAGAAGAGAGGAGAGAGAGAAAAAGAAAGAGGGAGAGGAGGAGGGGGAGAGAGGGAGAGAGAGAAAGAGAGAGAAAGAGGGACAGGGACAGGGTGAGAGGGAGAGGAGATGAGAGAAAAAGAGGGAGAGATGGAGAGGGAGAGAAGAGAGAGAGAAAAAGAAAGGGAGAGAGAAAGAGGGAGAGGAGGAGGGGAGAGAGAAAGAGAAAGAGAGAGAAAAAAGGAGAGGGGGAGAGGGAGAGAAGAGAGGAGAGAGAGAAAAAGAAAGAGGGAGAGGAGGAGGGGGAGAGAGGGAGAGAGAGAAAGAGAGAGAAAGAGGGACAGGGACAGGGTGAGAGGGAGAGGAGATGAGAGAAAAAGAGGGAGAGGGAGAGAGAGAAAGAGGGAGAGATGGAGAGGGAGAGAAGAGAGAGAGAAAAAGAAAGGGAGAGAGAAAGAGGGAGAGGAGGAGGGGGAAAGAGAAAGAGAAAGAGAGAGAAAAAGGGAGGGGGAGAGGGAGAGAGAGGGAGAGAGAGAAGCTAGCACCCAGTCAGTTGCCTAAAACAAGTGTGAAAAAGTGACAAATCTGTGCACAGAAATAGGTCTCTCCATTCCAGGATGCTCTGAACTGAGCACGAACTACTTAACACTTAACCCACAACTGCCAAACTTGTTGCCTCCTCTGATCAATGGCTTCCCCTGTTCTTCTAAACTCAGTAAATAAATAAATCTGGGCAAATCATCTCTGTGAGCTAATTTACTGTGCCTCCTGTCAAGGAGGCCACTCGGATTCTTGATCAGGCTCTCTTTATGCATAATTCAGCATTTGGATAACAATCAAAAAGAAGAAGAAGAAGGCCGACGCGATCTACAACTACGCAATCAGACATCCATTCGGCCTTTCACCGTATCATTTATTAAACACTACGCTTTGTAACTGGGACTCTGTCATTAACAACAGCCTGACAGGCGGTTCTGGTCTGTAGACTCTTCCACTTTAGATGGGGGCACATTCCTCTTCAAATGTTGTCCCAGGGGATGGACAGGAAGGCGCCCAACGCTATGATTCCACGATGTGCCAAGATCTGATTCATTTGATTCAGATTAATTCAACCAATTTTGGTCACCCTATCACAAGAAAGATGTTGAGAGTTTGGGGGGAAAAATTCAGAGAAGAGCAACTGCAGGACTTGGGCTTGGATAGTCTAAAGAAAAGAAGAAGTAGGGGAGACAGGATAGCAGTATTCCAGCATCTGGGGGGCTGCAACAAAGAAGAGAGGGTCAAATTATTCTCCAAAGCACCAGAGGGAAAGATAAGGAACAATGGTCGGGAATTGATCAAAGAGAGAAGCAACCTGGAATTAAGGAGAAACTGAATAACCATGAGGACAATTAACCAGTGGAACAGCTTGCCTCCATAAATCGTGGGCGCTCGATTATTGGAGATTTTTTAAAAAGAGGCTAAGTCACTTGTCTGAGATGGTTTAGGTTCTCCTGCTTGAGCAGGACTAGAAGACCTCCAAGGTCCCTTTCTACTCTATTCTATTCTATTCTATTCTATTCTATTCTATTCTATTCTATTCTATTCTATTCTATTCCATTCCATTCTCTTTCCTATTCCCTATTCTATTCTATTCTGTATTTTATTTCTATTCCATTCCATTCCATTCCATTCTATTCTATTCCTTAATTCTATTCTATTCTATTCTATTCTCTATCATCTATTCTCTATTCTATTCTAGTCTCTATCATCTATTCTCTATTCTATTCTAGTCTCTATCATCTATATTCTATTCTATTCTATTCTATTCT